ATCCAAATAAAATCAAAAAAAGCAAAAGCAAAATCCTCTACTCAGCTCTGTCCGCTTCTAAGAAAAACTCACCAGATCACTTTAATCGCGGAGGTGGTTGCAGCGGCTTGTTTTGTCCCAGGAGACAAAAGCAGCTGGGAAGCGGAGACAGTCTGAACTCCGTGGGAGCACTCCTTTCACCCCCCAAAAAAAACCTTGGGGGTGCATAAGAGGCTCTACCACTATTCAGACAATCCTCTCCCCCCCCTTTGCCCAGGAGGGGGATTTTGAACCGCTGAACAGCTGATGTCCGCTGCTCATAGCGATTCAAACACTTACCCAGGAAGACGGCTACAAAGTAGCCGCCATCGCCCGCGCAGATCCACCGGAAGCCCCTGGAGTTTCGTTCCAGGACGTCTTCCCCTCCTCTTTTTGTAGACCTGTTTCTTTTGAACAATTTGTATCCATCCATTAGGCCATTCCGTTCATGGGTTTTGTTCCACCAGGTTTCTGTGATGCCAACTATGTCAAACCCTCCCTCATGTACTATTGCTTTTAGTTCGCCCTGTTTGTTCCCCAAGCTTTGAGCATTGGTATATAAACATTTAAGACTTTTATGTCTGTCCATGGATATGCTTTCTGCATCTCCTGATTGTTGTTTGAGTTTTTCTCTTTTTTTTCATCACTGCCTACCTTATTGTTTGATTTGTTTTTTTGGGGATTTATGATTGTTTTTGGGTTCTAGAGATTCTGAAGATTGGTCACCCTAAATTTTTAGTTTAAATTTTAGTTTAAAGCTCTCCTGATGTTGAGCCAGTCTTTTTCTGAATACATTTTTCCATATTTTTGGGAGGTGCAAGCCCATCCCTTGCCAACAGTTTTTTGCATAGGAAATGCAGTCCATGATCCAGGAAACCAAAGTTGTCTTGGTGACACCAGCCCAACTTGGTCAATGGTTTATTTCTAGAATTCTTTTTTCACAATGGGTGTTGGCCTTTCATTGGGAGTACTGAAGAGAACACTACTAGGTGTGGTGGCCTCATTGAGGCCATCTTTGAAGCAATTGATCAGGATGTCTTTGGGTCAGGTGGATAACTGACATGCCAGTTCTTGGAACTCCTGGATGTAGGTGGCTCCAGGTCTGAGCTTTGCACTCCACTAGTGGATCCTCAAACCACTTGTGGAGAACTGCCATGAAATTGTCATATTTCTGTAGTTTGGGGGTGTTATTGTTATGGAGGGAGACCATTCCCTTGGCTCCATTGCCCTCAAGAGCCATGGTCACACATCTCACCTGGTCTGTCTCCACCCCCAGTTCAGCCCCATACCCCTGCATGTAATTCCAAACTTGCACCAGGAAAACCCGCAGTTACTTGGTGTCCCCCTTGTACTTCACTCCCAGCATTGGAATTTTCAGGGGCCAGCATCTTTGAGGTGGAGATGAAGGAGCTCACTCAGCAACCATTGCTGGTGGTGGCAACACTGGAGCAGGGCCAGTCCAGGTGGGGCAGGTGCTGTTGCAGCTGCAGCCACTGGCGTGGCAACTCTGCCTGTAGTTTGGCTTGGAGCAGCTCAGGGAGTGGGCACTGTCATTTGGGTGAGAGTCTCCCAGGCTCTCTGTTTCTTGATTGCTTCATACAGTGAATATAAGGCATGGTTCAACATGACATCTTTCAGGTCCAAATTAGGAGGGGAGGACCTTGCTTCTGTCCTTTTGTGCCACTCCCACCTCATGGAGCATCTGCTTCATCAAGTAAACATCACTTCTGAGAGTCATTCTTCCAGTTCCTCTTTCCACCCCACACTCAATGACAACCTTGGCTTAACAGGATCCTCATCAATATCCAGCTCCTCCAGCCACTTTGCCTCATCTTAGGCTCGACATGGCTTGGAAAGGGACCCTCCTCCCCCGGGCCCCCAGTCTCTTCCAGTTCACTTTCATGGCTGGACATTTAGATGCTTGGTTTCCATGGTAGATTGTGGTCTCTGGGTCAACCATTAAAGCAGACCTTGCCTAATGTCAGGATTGCCCCAATCAATTCCCAGATAAGAAAACCCTTGACTCCATGAATTTAGAGAAAAGGTACTTTTACTAGGAAAGATCTAAATCAGTGGTTCTCAACCTTTTTAATGCCGCGACTCCCAACTGGTCATACGTTGAGGACTACCCAACTGGTCATAAGTCAAGGACTACCCAACTGGTCATAAGCCGAGGACTTTCCCTGCCTGGGAGCACCACGAATGCGTGGTGCTGCCCCCTGCGCTGGCCGAGGTGTAGCTGGCAAGGGGCAGCGACGGTGCAGGGCGACCACCGGCTAGGCCACCAGCTGGCCCATCCCAAGGGAGGTAAGGCACCCGCCGGGCCCCACGCATGCCAGCAACCCTTCCTGCACTCGCCGGCCTCCCACCTCCCACCCCTGGCCCTCTTTTACTTACATTTTTAGTAGGCAGGGTAGAGACAGCCTGGACAATTCCTATTGGCTTTTGAAAGCCAATAGAATTAGGCTCTATTCAAGAGAGTCTATTCTATTGGCTTTCAAAAGCCAATAGAATAAAAGGGAGTAGCACAGCTAAGGAAAAGGGGAAAAAATGGCAGACTGCGTTGTTTGGCAACCCCTGTGAAATGGTCGTTCAACCCCAAATGGGGTCGCGACCCACAGGTTGAGAACCGCTGATCTAAATGCAGTGAAAGTCAAGCAAGGTCTGAAGTAAGCAAGCATGAAAATTACAGACTGAAAGTCACCCCAGTGCCCCCCCCAATAGTCAGGCAGAGTCCAATCATCATCTAGTAAGATGTTTTGGGAATGTCTCCAATCCAGGTGCTATGTGTTGCCTCTGTGCATACCATTCCCAGGACGGGAATGTGAGATAGCCCCCTTTGGCCTCTCTGCCAATCCTCCTCATCCCTTCTCAGCAATTCCTCTCTCCCACCACCTGCACATTTTCCCTCCCAAATGCTCATTGCTCCCTCCCCCCATTTCCATGGCAGCTGGCAGCAAGCTTGAAAGAAAGCGATGATGGCCAGGTTAACATAGCTCAAATACTTTATGCAGCACAGGTTGTATATAAAGAAGAATGCTTTAGAGACAGTAAAAATTGTAAATATCCATGGAATATCCCCAAAAGTAGTATTCATACTTGAGTAAGAGATGCCTTAAATTGAACTTAGAGCCTGGAAATTAATTGGGACATATTGCTTAAGGCTTCTTCTTTCCCACTGGGCTGCTTCCACTATTCCTATCTAATAATTCACTTTCAGTATGGACACTGGTAGTAAATAAAAAATAAAAATCCCATGGACAACAACTAGCAGTCAGAAGACATGATGAAAACTCTTTAAGTTCACAACATATGGACAAACTTAACCACAGTTTCAGATGGGAAACTGTGACTATCCTAGACCAAGCCAAATCCAAAAATGCTAGGGAATTTCTAGAAACTTGGCACTCTGACAAATTAGTGTCAATAGACACATAGACATAAACAATATCTATAGATTATGCAAAAGAGACAATCAACAAACCAAAAAGGGAACAAAAAGACCTAAGCATCTCTCAACTAGCAATAAGCAACCAGATGAGCATAGATTAATTCCAAGACTAACATCAGACCAACAATCAAATAAACAATAGCCCAATCAAGAAACTGACAAACAAGCCAACAGTAAGCAGGAGTACAATAAACAGCTGAACCAAAGAACCTCCAAGACCACTCTCATCAACACTGACAGGGCAAGCCACTAGAATATAAACTGAGAGCAAACCCCACTCCTTATTACTACTGATGATGTTACCTAGTTTGGGTAATGAAACATCTACAAGAAAACTATCAAGCTCAGAAAGCACCAAGGACCCTTCATTTCAACTCTGAGCTACAAATATTCTCCTTTAGTGTTTGCAGTATAAGACATGAGGTGTTTTCAATTTTCTTATTGCCACATGTACACATTTGCTCTGCTGGGGGGGGGGGGTTATTGTACCTGCCTTGCAGAAGTACTGAGGGAAAGATATCATGGCCATGGAGCCATGATGGCACAGTGGTTAGAATGCAGAATTGCAGGCTAACTCTGCCCTCTGCCAGGAGTTCAATCCTGATGAGGCTCAAAGCCTTCCATCCTTCCAAGGTTGGTAAAATGAGGAACCAGATTGTTGGGGGCAATATGCTGACATTGTAAACCACTTAGAGAATGCTGAAGCACCATGAAGCCGTATATAAATCTAAGTGCTAGTGCTAGTGCTAAATCTAGCTCTAAAAAATGCTATTCTGCTTTTAGGAAAGGTTATATCTTTCAGGTATCTTGCTGGTTCTCATATACCACATCTAATCCGATTTTTGCTGTGGAGGGGTATCCTATTAACTTCAGATTGGAACTCCATATCTCCTATTCTGTTGAATTTCAATTACTTGACTTGATCATAGCCTAGTGAGATTAAAAAAAATGGGGAAAGCCCATATAAGACCAGTTTGTGCTCTATTGCCTGCTTCCAGGGAGAGAAGAAGTTATCTATCAAGATTGAGGGGTCAAAGCCACCAGGAAGAATGGCATTTTCAGCCAGAAAGTTATCATTTTCCAGGCTCTGACTTGAATTTGAAGAATCCTGTCTGAATTCTCAACTATCCTGCTGGGTGCAGCTAAAATTGATCACAGGAATTTTGTTTGTATGGTTTGCAATGACTTTAGTTAAAAAAATTCTTCATTGTGCCCTGTAGAGAATTGTGTCAATGTTTTAACCTCAAAAAGATTTAAGGCTGCAGGGACTAATAGTCCTCTACTTATATATATAAAAATGATGACATTTGTAGACCTAATGTGTCTTCCAAGTGCTTATTTTAATAAATATGACAGAGCAGAACACATAACTGTATCATTGATAATAGTGGAAATCAAGAAAGTTTACTTTTCTATCATCCTCCCATCCTCAGAAAAATGACTCATAAGATGTTTTGGGATTCCAAACTAGCTTTTATTTTTTAGCAATTGCTTTATGGTTATTTAACTTAATAAATATATTTTGTTTTAGATATGCCAGTTGGAAATGATCAGCTTCTTGCAATTCTCAGAAAATTGATTAAGTACATTCAGATCAAGGTATGATTATTTGGTTGTATTTGGTTGTATCTGAGGTAGAAAGAATATAGATCATGTTTATTATCTCTACCTTCCTATCTATTAACTCTTTCTTTCATTTATTATGATTATTAAATTTATCTGCCACACATCTTGTCTAGAGGTGAAATATTTTAGCAACATTTAGCGCATATTCACTAAAAGTTAAGGGGAATTCAGTCTTAAATACGATGTGGAAATCAGTAACCATCCATGGAATATGTCTATAGTTTTTCTGCCACAAAATATTACTTTGCAAACATTTTTATGGCCATCAGTTCCATCAAGGTGGACATATTTCTATGGAGATTCTCAGTGATCCAGGTCATGGTTGTCCCAAAGGTACTTTTTCAAGAGGCAACTGGATTTTCTTGTTTTTGTCTGAAAATGTTTCGCTTCTCATCCAAGAAGCTTCTTCAGCTCTGATTGGATGGTGGGGAAAGGAAGGATTTATATTTCTTTCAGACAGCTGGTCATTTGCATTCTTCTAGAGAGTCATTGAGGCCCCTTGGAGGTTTATCTGTGTCCTCAGAATCATCTGAGTAGTACAAATGAGCATTCTTGGAACTGCTGAAAGGACTGTGTTGTAGACAGGAGATAGATGATGTCATATCCCTCCCCATCTGTTGAGAAAGGGCTGTTTAATTTTGACACAGACAGTCACTTGTCTGAAATGGTATAGGTTCTCCTGCTTGAGCAGGGGGCTGGACTAGAAGACTTCCAAGGTTCTATTCTATTCTATTCTATTCTATTCTATTCTATTCTATTCTATTCTATTCTATTCTATTCTATTCTATTCTTGGCCTCTTTGACCTCTTTTAAACCAGCACTCCCCTCTGTCCAAAATATGGACTTTGCTGTCTTCAAAAGGGGCCAAAGAGGCCATCTAGAATGCAAATGACCAGCTGTCTGCAAGAAATATAAATCCTTTCTTTCCCCACCATCCAGTCAGAGCTGAAGAAGCTTCTTGGATGAGAAGTGAAATGTCTTCAAAGAAAAACAAGAAAGTCCAGTTGCCTCTTGAAAAAGCACCTTTCAGACAAGTCTGATATAGATAACTACTCTTCCTCATGGCTGTGTTAATAGCACTTTTCCTGTGATTGAAAAGTGTGTCAACATAAACTATGCTTCTCAGAGAGCTAAACTTTGTTGTACCTCAGTAATGCAGTTGGGAGCTACAGCTGCCCTTAGAGATTTAATGTCAAGTAATTTGAGGGCAATGATTGATGGAAACCCTGGATTCCTTTCCATTCCCATTCAACATCACCTGGGAAAAAGAACTTTCTAGAAAAAGTGGGGGTATGGTTAGGATGCAGAGAATTCCATTCCATTTTATCCATGTCCATCTAATGCTTCAATGGACAGTTAGTCATGATAAGTGTTTTTTTCCCACAGGACCAGTAATTTCCTGGGACAGTCTTATCAAAAGAAAAAAAAAGGAAACTTCCCCCCTTCTCCTCTTTCATAATATTTAAAATCTTTGATGTGAAAAAGCACCAGTTTTAAGGAGATTTTCTCTCAAAGTTCATTCTGTACATCTATATTATCTACATTTTCACAATAAAATGAATATGATTGGCATTTACTTCCCATTCTATGATTAATCTTAGGCATGTTTGCTCAGAGATAAATCTCATTGTTGGTGGTAAATAATGATAGCTCGGGTGTAGGATGAGGGTGGAGGTTCATTCTCCGAGCTTGTGGGTTGCTTTCTGAACGTTTTGTTACCAGGCTAGGTAATTTCTTCAGTGGACTTTAGGGGAAATTCCATGGAAGATGTTACCTAGCCTGATAATAAAATATTTGGAAACTAACACACAAGCTTGGAGAACAAACCTCCACCCTCATAAATCTCACAATTAATACAAATATATCTATTTATGAATACTGATTGGGGTGTATGTGTTGACAAAGTATTTTAAATAATTTTCTGTCAAAAAAGAGGCCCTTTCTCTTTGTTAATATTCAGAATTATTTCTGCTTCTTTCCTTGTGGATCGCAGTGCAATTTTGTAAGCAATAAGACCTCATCAGAAGCAAGTCATTGCAAGCATATTATGCTTTGAAAGTAGGTGCTAATGATTGCGATCTTGAGTTTATACCTTGAAGCTGAGTGAGTCTTCTCTTAAGACAGGGGTGTCAAACTGCCAGCCTGCAGGCCAGTTTCATCATACCGAAGCTGCGCCCACCCCATTGCCGGCAATCCAAAAAGAGTTGTGATACGTCACGACACATCACAGGACTGGCGAGTTTGACACCCATGTCTTAAGACATTGCTTGCTTGCTTGCTTCTCCCCTCCCCTGCCCTTCTTTCTATTGAGAAGGAAGAATTGCCAGTAACAACTCAGCCAAGATATTGGGTTATTAGTTTTGTTCTTTTCTTACACAAAAATATCAGTTGCCTGGGAGATCAAAATGCTATGTAGAAGAAGAAAGCTGTCTTGAAAGAGTTTGTATGCAGAAGGACATATGCCTTCTTCTTCATTCTATGCCATTCTACAGCCAGTTGGCTGTAGAATGGCATAGAATGCCATTCTACACCTCAAGTTGATTTTTGTTTTCTGCTAAATTTCAGCAATCCAGTGTCTATCCAACCAATCAACCAACCAACTAACCAACCAACCAACCAACCAACCAACCATCTCTTAGTGAAAGCTATTAAAAGAAAAGTAGAGTTCAGAAATGAACTAACTGAGAGCTATGCATCCCTATGGTAGAGATAACCATACAGTAACTGAGAATCTTGCTGACTGCTCCATTCCTTAAGTCTCTGAGTGCATGATCCAGAATAGAGCTACTATTAAAGACTTTGAAAAACTCCCAGAAGCCATTCTCTGCATTCTCTACTTTGTTTATTTTCAGATTTTCATTAATATTTTTGTGTAATAGAATTGGCCCACTTAATGCATTGTAACTGCACTGTTTTTATTTATTATTTATTTTATTTATTTTTTGTTTCTTATAATACACATGATTTGACTGAATCTTTAAAAAAATTTTTTCACAGTTTATCCGTGGTAGCACATTTAAAGAAATTCCACTAACATTTTACAGTAAGTAGTTTAAAGGCTAAAATGTTCAGTTGCAAATATTTACAGGCGTGAAAAAGCATTTGGCAGTTTAGATAAGGACAGTGTTTCTCAGCCTTGGCAGCTTGAAGATGTGTGGATTTGGAATGTTTGAGGCATTCAAACATCCTGTTTCTAGTCATGATATGCTGTACATGGCAACATCACAGTGATCTTGTATTTGCTGCAAACTATCCTGACTTTATTTCTAGCCATTTGGAAAAGGAAGTGGTAAGGAGGGATGATGGGGAGGTGATGATGATGACATGTCTGGGCCCAATTCCCTCAGTTTTGAACTACATCAAAATAAAAAAAAGGATTGGTGATAATCTCAAGACAAACTCAAATTAATTACAATGAAGCCAGTGAAGATTCACAAGTGCATTTTACACTCCTGGATGGCTATCATGGGATGAAACACATCTTGTTTTATAATATAGAATGCTGGTTGTATCTCATTGGAATGCTTTTAGCTCCAAAAGAGTGTTTTCAAAATGAGATCTTTTGATAATTTGACTTGAATCCATAATATCTTAATAAAACAGATTATTTATTTGCAGACTTTGTTATAAGGTTCTTAACATTGATCAAGTTAGTGAGTTAGAAACAGAGGGGTTGTATCAAGATCATGCGAAGTGCTAGTACCAGTTTATACTGCACTGGTAAGACCACATTTGGAATACAGCTGAAATAAGCACAGAAAATAGTAGACATTACTCCTTTGTGCAGCCAATGCATCACTGGTTGCCAGACTAGTAATCTGACTTTACCCCAGGATATAATTAATATTGGAGGGTTTTTTATTATTGCTTGCAATGCCATTGCTGATGATTCAACAACAGTCATCTATTTTATATACCAAGATTTTATTTATTCAACAATTTTTATAATCTTCTCCAAACCATAGACTCTGGGCAGCACATGACAAAGTAAAAATGCAGACTGAAAAGAAAGACATATAATTAACTAAAATCCCTCAGATGGTGGCTAGAAACATTTAACTCACCTTAAAACTAAGATGGAATAGTGTTATTTTAATAACTTTATGAAATGCCAGAAGGGAGAAAGTTGTGTGAACCTTCCAAAGCAAAGGGATCCAAAGTATAGAGACCACAGCAGAGAAGGCACATCTCTAAGCAGACATTCTTGTTATGTTATTTTTAGAATGGCAGATTCAATCTAGGAAAGGTGGGACTTGAGAGAATTTGAATTGGGTCTGAAAGCCTACTAATAACTAATACAGTGACGTTTGTAGTGATATTACATGGCTATGAAGGAATTGTCAGTAAGCTAAATGCCATATGCTATACCTTCTGGGTCATCTTAAGAAAGTCCCATGTTGAATATGTTTTGGATCCAGCTGAATGATGGTCAAACACAAACTACTATTTTTTTTTTTTTATTAAAAGTTTTATAAATTTTACAAAAAAAAAAAGAATACAAAACAAGAGACAACATATACAAAAAAATAAAACTAAACAATACATATATATATAAAAAAAACAAAAAACCCCACCCCTCCCAAACCCCCCCCCTCCCTTCCCCCCCCCCCTGAGCTTCCCAGAGCAGAATATAGGCTTAAAAAGTAAAAATAAAAATTAAATTAAGAACTTTATATTTATATATATAAAAAGATTATCTATAATATATATGAAAATAAAACTTATGAAAAAACTATATAATATTTTTGTATACCCAATCTAAATTGTATAAATTTTATCCATTTATCCCAAACAGCAAGAAACTTCTCTTGCGTTTGTTGCTTTAAGAAAGCCGAAATCTTTGCCATTTCCGCCAGATAAGCTACTTTAAGAAACCATTCCTGCAATGTAGGCAAAGATTCCTTCTTCCAATATTGTCCTACTAACAGCCTAGCGGCTGTAATCAAATTTAACATCAAAACAACCTCCTTTGTATCACAATCTGTAACAATACCTAACAAAAATAATTGCGGAGTAAATTTTACCCTCCTTCTAAAAATTCTCTGGATATTCCACCATACTTTGATCCAAAATGCTTTTATCTCTCTGCATGACCACCAAATATGATAATAGGAAGCCTCCTTATAACCACATCTCCAACATTTGGGTTGCACGTCAGGGTACATATAAGACATTTTTTGTGGATCAAGGTGCCATCTATAAAACATTTTATAAAAATTCTCCCTTAAGTTCTGTGCTTGTGTAAATTTGACATTTCTCACCCAAATATTTTCCCAGGTGTCCAATGAGACTGGCTCACCAAAATTCTGCGCCCATCTTATCATACAATCTTTAATTAGTTCCGTTTCTGAATCCAATTCAACTAAAACCGCATAAATTCTCTTAATGTGGGTTTGTCTTGAATCCTTCACTTGCTTGATAAGATTTTCATCTTCTCTAAGAAAACCCACCTTACAATCCATCTTCCATCTGTCTAGTAATTGCCTATATTGGAACCAAGAATAAATAAAGTTTTCTTGTGCTAACTCTTCCCGTGATTTTAATTGCCAGTTTTGTCCATCCCATTTAAGTAACTGTCTGTAAGACACCATATCCATTTTAACCCCTCTTTTTATTGCTTCTATCGCATGCCAAGGTATAGCCCATAATGGTACTTTGAAATCACTTTTATAATATTTTCTCCAAATCCTAAGTAAAGAAATTCTTAAGATATGAGATTTAAAAGCCCAATCCATTTTTTTATTGAATATTAAATAGGCATGCCACCCATAAAGTAAATCCCATCCCTCTAGATAAAGTATCTCAGAATTTGTCAAATTTACCCAATCACTGATTAGTGTTAAAACCACCGCATCATAATATAATTTCAAATTTGGTACCTTAAGTCCACCCCTCTCACGGAAGTCTTGCATAATTTTAAACTTAACCCTTGGCTTTTTCCCTGCCCAGATAAATTTATTAAGACCCTTCTGCCACTCATTTAAATTAATCTCATTTTTCAAAATTGGTAACATTTGAAACAGAAAAAGAAACTTGGGTAAAATATTCATTTTTATCACTGCAATTCTTCCCATGAGGGATAATTGCAACTTTTCCCAGTTCTTCAAGTCCTTCTGTACCCTGACCCACAACCTTTCATAATTATTTTTAAATAATTTTACATTAGAAACAGACAACATCACCCCCAAATATTTTACCTTATTAACAATCTCAAAACCCGTCAAACACAAACTACTATTGTCAAGGGATCCTGGTTTAAGTACAGTTATAACTTTCTTAAAATTATAAATTATGCTGAAATTAACAAAAATAACTTCCGGTGGCGTGGTTCTGTGCCGATGGCGGCTACTTTGTAGCTGTCCTCCTGAGATCGTGTAAAAGCCGCAGTGAAAGCGAACATCAGCTGTCCCGCGGTTTGAAGCTTCTCTCCCGGGCAAAGGGAGAGAGGTGAGTTTTTTGCCTTGTGGATAGTGGTAGAACCACTAAAATCTCGAGATCTTTTTTTGGGATTGAAGGTGAGCTCCCACGGAGTCCTAGGCATTTCTCCATGACTCAGACGCCTTTGTCCCTTTTTGTTTTGGGACGAAGCAAGATGCAGCTTCCACCTCCGCAACTTATGTGAACTGGTGAACTAATTTTGAATGTGGACAGAGCTGATCAGGGAAATGGATTTATAAATTTAATCTGAACTTTAACTCCTGAAAAGAATAGTTTTTTTCTTGTTTTTGTTATAAGGGAAAAGTAAAATGGCGATGAGAGGTTTCTCTTTCTCATGCATATGAAAGGGAAGTGTTAAAGGATTTTTATATTTTTTTGTTTGTTACAAAGCAGTAATTTTTGGGATTTTTAGTGGCTGCATGAGAAGGGTAAATATATTATTTTTTTTTAATATATATAATTACAAGAGGGTTTTTTCCCCTCTTCATTTTGTTTCTTTTTGGTCTTTTGGATTTTTTGGAGAAAAGTTTTTCCTAAAATGGCTTCGAAGCGTCAAGCAACCTCAGCTGTGCCTAAAGTGGCTTCCTCTCCGGCAATACTTACAGTTCAACAACCTAAAGCTAGATCACCACCACCCTCACCGCCTGTACCATCACTTATGGTAAAAGATATTCAAGATGTTATGGGTAATGTTGTATGTCAAATTAGACAAGAAATGAAGGAACTTTTAGAAGAGAGAAATAGAGTTATGAGGGAGGATATAGTTATGGCTCTGCAAGAACTCGCCTCTGTTGTTGAAAAGCTGGATAATCATATTGAGGATGTTGTTGATAAAGTGGATTTAATAGAAGATCGTGTTGAAAATGTCAAAAAAATGGTGGAGACTTCACAGGATGAAATCCTCATGTCTCAGTACAGAGAAATGGAGTTCGCTTTAAGAATCAGAGGCTTGAGGGAAAATATGCAAGAAAATTTGAGGGAAGTGGTGGCAAATGACATTGCTGTGATACTTGAGAGGGAACCAGAGGAGATATTGAGGGAAATAGAGAAAATATTTAGAGTTAATTCGTGGATTGCAAAGCAGAGAAACCTACCAAGAGATGTGGTGGTTTATTTTGGAAAAAGATCTTTACGTAATGAAGTAATACAAGCATTTTACAATCAGAGATTTCAGATTGCTGCTCAGGATGTGATAATCTTAAAGGAGATTCCATCAAAAATTTTAAGAAGAAGGAAGGACTTTGCTTTTCTATCAGAGGAACTTAAAAAATGGCAGATGCCATTTAGATGGGATATCCCGATTGGAATTGTGGTGAGCCATGCGGGGACACATTATAGATTCAATACAGTTGCAAAGGCAAGAGAGTTTTATATTTCTGTCCTGGGAGTTCGCTCACCACCACCTTTGCGCTCTAAAGTTCTTGATGTGAAGGAGGGAGAGCAATTGGTTGGAGACACCGTATCAATGAAAGTTGGAAAATTACAGGCTGAGTTGATGCAGCAGTCGGTTGAGATGAAAGAGCAGAGAATGACTCAAGCAGCTCATAGACGAAGAGAAAAAGAGCAACACAAGATGGATATAAAAGAGTCTACACAAGAATTTGT